TCCTCTCGAATTCTCAGGTCAACTTTTTAATGTTAATATTAAATTCTTTAAGTAGAGCGCCATAGTTTTTTCATTTCTTTTTTTCCTCCGAGTAAATTCAATCTCACCCGAACTGACAGACCAACAAAAGGAATTGCTCAACCTTCGATCTAATGGTCATCTTTACAGACATTGCAATATACCGTATGAAAAACTGAAATTGAAATTTATATCAAAGCTTTAAAAAAAAATATTAAGAATAACAACTAATAAAAAACAAATGCAGAAATTCGTGATCTGTTCAAAGACAAAGAAATACTAGACAGATATAACAAAAGAAAACTGTCTTCCATGATACTAATGAACCAATTAGAAATCGCTTCCAAGGAACTATATAACCATACTGATATAATTGTTAAAAAAGCAGATAAATCTAATATCTTTGTTGTATTAAATAAATCTGATTATAATTCAAAATTACAACCATTACTTGACGATCTCACCATATTTAGAAAAGTCAAAAAATCTTCGTAACCAACAAATTAAAAATCAATAAACTGATCAAAACCAACAATACATAAGAGCTTAAAAATTCCCAAGATAATTGGCGATTACAAATGTTCCATACATGTATAGAAATATAAAAATATAAATACATATAAATATATACATAAACCTAACTCCCCTTTCAATCCTATCATATCCCAAATCCTCACTGCCACTTACCAATTAAGCAAATCATTACACCATACATAACTAGTAAATATGTCCGTCGCTATTTGCAGCTTCTATCCAACTTAGACATTACATTAATGTTCTTATAACATCGACGAAATGTCCACATCAGACATTACATCGAATCAATAATGCTTCGACAGCCGGGGGATAACATTAACCATGCTGTTCTCGTAATTCCATATCAATCAATCATATAGAATTGATATCACAGACAAGATGCAAAACCTTGAAATGGATTTCTCCGTTTCACCGACTTCAAAAAACATGCACAAATCTTGTCATAAATTTGACCATTTCATTATAAATTATTCAAACTCATGTTTACGGTTTATAGTAAATAATACAACACAGGTCTATTTTTATTTGGTTGAGAGTTACGGCTTTGTTTGAATGTGCTGCGTGAATCCAATGGGGATTCTATTAAGTTAGGATTGTCTTTTTATAGCCTAAAGTGAGTGGAATAACAAGAGAAAAAATTGCCGGAACAACATTTATATGCCCTAAACTCGGAATAGTGTTTCCTATTTCATATCATCTAACTACTTGTAATATTGTGTCACCTCGTTCCATGCGACTTTAATCACTGGCCCTAGAAATGCAGATGCAAACGATATCTGCTAAGTCTAGATAATATACTACCCATTCACTACACTAAAGAAGGTTATTCCCATTATATATGAAACTTACGGACAAATCAACGTGTTTTTTTATTATTTCACACCATGCAAAGCAATAAAACCATTAAGATACAAAAGGTTACTGAAGTTGAAAGAAATCAAAAGAACAGTAAAAAAAAAAAAAAACTGGATTCAAGGAGATGATGATATTTCATTTAAATTTTTGGAAAAAACAGGAAACCGGAAGTGAATTCCATAAGCAAGAATTTCAACAGAAGAAATTATAGAACTTATAAATAGTAATTTATAACGGATAATTTCAGCAGTAAAATTATGAAACATAGCTGACAATTACCGTGAAAATCGTGTCCTTTGATCACACATTATTATTCATTTCTAATAGATTTAAATTTACAATTACGATCTAAAATGTCATTAAAACCTAAATCAAATGTTATCGTCATTAGAAATCTATTAATAAGAAATTTCATTTGTTGACATGATCAGTCCATGTCATTCTCGACATACTTCTGTAGCAACACATGGTACTTAATGAGGAAAGAGAGCTTTAGTAAATTTGACACTCACATGATATATTGAAGGCAAGAGGAAACGAGAAAAGCAACGCATAACCTATCTAACTCCCTTGTGTAAATTACTGACTAAACAGCGACGAGAAGAGATAACAAAAATCAAATATTAAGAGCTAAATACGAGAGGTTAATGTGGGACACCATGATTTCACACGTCCTGTACATAGAAGAAGAATTTGCGAAATTCCAATGATAAAATCGATTGCTTTTTACTTGCACATGTGATCCAAAGAAGTCGCGAAGATGTGAAATAATGAAAGAATAAACTGAATAGACGAGAATGTGGATTGAGAGGAAAGTGTGAAAATGTTTAGAGGACAATGTATTGACTGTATCAGGAAGATTTAAAAAAGTTCGTCTAGAATTAAAATAAAAGAAAAGGATGCTGTGGATGATTCACATGTGAGATATAGAGAAAGAAAATCAGATAGAACGAGAGAAATGTGCCTATAGTTTTATACACGTTTATAATCTTAAAACAAGTATGCAATAATTTTTTCTATGTTTCTCTGTCTATATTAGTTTTTGTACTTCCCCCGATTACATGTATCTTTCCACGTGTATGAAATCATGAAAGTGAGGATAAATAAACACACTCATTCAGATACAAATATACACAAGTAACGATATATAACAAGGAGATGACTCACGGAACTCAATATGGCTATTGAGTAAACACATAATTTTTATGGTTTATCAACCATTTGGGGATTATTTAAAACAGAAACATATTTTGGATTGTAGGATTTTTTTTTTTTTTTTGCGAGTTAATATTAAATTAACATTTTTTTTTTAGAATAACAATAAACTAAGATAAAAGTCTCACAATTTAACTCATAGGTAGGGAGTAGATTCTTACTTTCTGAGGAGTATTTACGCGTATGTCAGTGTGACGAATCCCAGTGAACTTCGAACTGCTGGCCAATTTTTCAGTTCGAGACTCCATCTATTATAGGTGTAGTAGCAATGGGTGTACGTTTGACAAGACAGCTAGATTAAACCAAACCATCTTTATTCAGGTTTTGACTTATCTATTTTTTTTTTTTTTTTTGCTTTATTTTACCAATTGTTCATACAATGGAAAGCCAAGGAGATAAAATATATAGATGGTTACTATTGGAGGCTTTTGCCTGTAAATTTTGGAGGTAATAAGATATCTGTTAAGAATAGTCTTGATGAGGTTACAATTGTTGTGTTTAGGGAAGTATCCTATCGGTAGCCTAATTACCACGCGGCAACGGTTATTGGGGAAAAAAGCTATTCGAAAAGAATTTCCTTCTTAGTAATGATTAACAATGGAATAGGGATGAATCTATCCGGTGTATATGGCATAACGTTGCTTAACCGTGTAGTTCATGGCAGCTGGAGGCAAGGAATGTAGTTTGTCAGAAAATTTACAAGGAAATAGTGGCAGAGTAGTGAGAGAATTAAAATGTTTTGTTTGTAGGATTTCTATTTTTAGATTGCTTACTCTATTAAAACTATTCAGCCTGTCTTTTATTTACGGCGTATTGTTATTTGCATTCAGTGTTTTCTATTATATATCCTGGCTACTGCCCAAGACGACGCTGATATTTAATACATACCTACATTAAGACGGATGTCTGCAATATGAATATATTAGACTCGGTGATAACATGAATGCAACACGAACATTCCACTTTCTGCCTTCATAATCGATACATTGCCCGCATATATAATAATATAGAATAACATACAAATAACAACATACACATACAGTAACATACAAATACAATATATATTTACATACAATTAGCATACAGTTATTATAATGAACATGATATAGTTATAGCTGTAACATAGCCTTTAGTCAGAACTAATAGTTCGTTGATATAATTCAAGACTGCTGTAATAAATATCTGTTTAGAGTAGAACGGTAAATTCCTGATGTTTGTATATAAATAATATAAGTGTATTAAACGTAAGAATACAGACTTGAAGTGAAGATTAGTAGTCCAAGAATGCGGGTTAGTAGAAAGTATATGTACAAGTCTCTGTAAGTAAAGCCATAATCACCTCTCTCTCTGGACTCTTGTATAACTCTCTGAAAACACACTGTGTCTGTCTCCATATTTCTCAACCAAACGTATCTCAACAGAAGGTATTCTCTCTGTCAGTATAAGTACATTTTGGACGAGTTCATCTCATATGAAAAGTATCACTAAGCCATTATTATCTAAAAAAATATTTAGACTATAAAAATCTTTAAATAACCTGCAAAAAACAAAACAGTCAATCTAAATAGACAGCAAGAATTAATTAAACCTTTTATTTAATCCATTCCAGCAGGTTCTGTCTGTTTCTGTTTCTACTCTTTAATTTCTGAAAAAAAAAATGATGTATGTCTTAATCAAAATAGTGAGTAAATCTGTCCAGATATCATAAATAACCTCATGTATAGAACGGTTTATAAAGAGCTTGACTGCATTGAAAAATAATGTATCAATTTGTTTATACATATTAATATTTTGTACATACTAGGAAAACATGATATTCGATGTAGTGAAATTTTATTTTAGACGCTCTGTTTCTTTTGCATAATAATAGTTTTATGTGTTTTCCTTACAGTGAGTGATATATTGCTTTTTTTTTTTGGTAGTATCTACTGATATTTTTAATGTTAATCTTTTTAATTTACTTATTTGTAATGTAATAACCCATATGTACACAAACTGCACCAAATTTCAATTAGTGACAAGTTACCTTACGAGACAGAGTTCTACATGTAAGGAAAAATGTAAGACTTTAATGATTTGGAATTATTAAGAAAAGCTGAACAGTTTGTTCATAGTTTTGATATGCAGGAATATTTCGTTGAAAAATTGACAAAAATACACGAAAACATTTTAAAGAGAGAGATGTGGTTGAATTGAAAAATGTATTAGTGTATTGAGAGTGAGAGAGATAGAGATTTATATAGAGAGGTGGATAGAGATAGAGTTGATAAGCATAAAAGAGATTTAATGATACAAAATATTATATATATATATATATATATATATATATATATATATATATATATATATATATATATATATATATGTATGTATACATATATAAGAGAGAGAGGGATAGATAGAGAGAAACATCCGGAAAAATAGATAGATTGGGGAGACAGATGGAGAGAGAGTGGGGAGATATATAGAGAGATATACAGAGAGGGATACAGATATATGTATAGACAAATGAGAGATAAAGAAAGAGGAGAGATAGAAAGTACAGATAGAGCGAGAGAGGGGATAGAGAGAAAGTGGTCATAGATTGATAATGAGGAGATAGATAGATACAGTAAACCAATTCGGACTGAAATCCGTCGCATAATCCCTGGAATTTATCAAATGTTCAGTGATCGCTGAACCGGAAGCATTAACCAACTGGCTCTTACGGGCATCCGGATTAAGAACTCGCAATGGGACACGCTGCCTGATCCTATAATCTAAACGTTGGGAAGTCTTTCCTATGTAGTCACTACCGCAACCACATTAAAAAGTAGAAATCACGGAAGAAACATAATGGGAAGGAAGAGGATCATTACACATAGAGGAAAAAGCAGAACGAGTCACAAAATGAATCCTTAGTTGAGCAGAAAAATAGCAGAGATGGACAGCAGACAAGACCCGCCTAGCCACAAGCTCGCCCAGCGAACTAATAAAAGGAAGTTGCAAGTAAATAGGACATTTCTGAACAAAATATTTTTTTCCTTTTGAAAATTAATATTTCAACAGTATCACTAGAATATCCATTTTTTAATAGAGTGCAGCGGATAAAATCCAATTCTTCATCCAAATATTGTTCACCGCAAATCATCAAGGCCCTATGAGTTAAGGTCTTGATGAGATTGATTTTACGCTTTCTGGGACAAAATGAGTCCCAACGCGTATACAAACCAGAAAGCGTTAGTTTGCGAAACACCAAAGTAAGAAATTGAGAAGGAGTCCGATGCACAAGGACATCAAGAAAAGAGAGACAAGAATTAGACTCCTTGTCGGTGGTAAATTTCAAAGATGGATGAAGTTGGTTCATAACTGTGAGAAAGGAATCAGCTTCTACTTTACTATTAAAAAGACAAAATGTATCGTTCACATACCGACGGTACATAGTGCATTGTCATAAGTGAGGAGGAACGACTCATAGAAGCCCACAAAGCGGGACCCAAAGGAGAGCCCATGGCAACCCCATCGTTCTGTCTGTACATAAAATTGTTAAAGCTAAATTCCGCAGACATAGTAGCGAATGGCATAAGCTCAACAAACCCATTTTCTGGGATATCCGGAGGTGACAAACTACTTTGATATAACATGTTACAACAAATATCAATAATTTCCATTACTGGAACACAAGTAAACAGAGACTATACGTCAAAGGAAAACATAAATTTATTTTAGAGTATCACAAATAACCTGACCAAATGAAAAAGAATCTTTAATAGTATACAAGTTAAAATGTTCAACAAAATACAACAATTTATTTAAAATATATATATATATATATATATATATATATATATATATATTCCTTTTGTAATAGTTTTTTACCGGATCAGATTATTGCGTTTAATTTTCTCATGACATAGTCAAATTTTTCTGTCATTTCAGACTGACATATTAAACACTCCAAATGAATTTGTGGCAGTCATTTTTATCTTTTTCCTAAATGTATTTTATTTACAAAATATCAGAAACTTAAAATCTACCATTATTTTTACGACAGGTCCACTAGTCTTTGTGCAAAAATTCGAACTTTGGCTAATTTTAATGACAATGTAGTAGGCCGTATTTAATGAGAATCATTTTCAAATTCCCCTTGTATCTGTTTCGAAGCCATTCAAAATATTTTTAAATGTATTTTTATTGTGTAAGAATCTTTTTGTTGTTATAATACGCTTGAACTATTTATTAACTTTTATCCGAATGTGTAATTCTTCAAAAAAAAACTCCAAAAAATACATAAAAACATTGACCAGAATATCCTGTCGGGATAAGTCAGTGGATCTCTCTCTCTCTATTTTTGTGTAATTGTCTTTTTTTCTAAAAATATTTATCAATTTGCTACTATGATTTCACTGTAAAAAGATTAAAATTAAGCAAGAATATTGAAGTATCAGAACTGACGTTTAAAAAATTCTAAGGGCATCGGATTTGTGAAGTACATAAACATCTAAAAAAACATAATTGGTTTTCGTTGTTTTTTGAATTGTTAATTAAGGACATAATTCATTTCATAAGCGATATTAATATTTAATGAATGAATAAAATGATGTTCTGCTAAAAATAAAAGTAAAAAATCAATAAAACTATTTGTCACTGTCACCAGAATGCGGGTGATGAAAGAAATTTGTTGATAACGAATTATTGTTTTTTTTATATTTTAATCATTTTATCCCAAGCAAGTCTTCTAACGAGTTCTCATTCTTTTTCACCCAGCTGGAAAAAAAAAAGAAAAAAAAAAAACCTTAGTCAGAAGAAAGGACAATAAGGGAACAGGGTTCAGGGAGAGAGGAGAAGGCGATTAGCGCTACATTTATATCTTTGAAGAGTGTAGGTAGCAGGGAAGAAAGAAACCGGAAGAAAGTTCCACAGTCAAGAAGTGCGAAAAATAAATTATTAGAATAGATAAGGTTACATCTAGCTAATTCAACAGTAAAAACGCTGAGACGTAGTAGCACGCTTATATTTATAAAAACCGAGACACCAAGAACTGTCTAATAGCAAAACTGAACTACAAAAAGGTAGAACTTGGGTGAGAAATGCGGCCTAGGTGGGCGAGGTAACAACGCCCACGACAGACACCCAGACAGACAACATGAGAATAGTAAAACATATATATATATATATATATATATACTTCCAATTTTGTGCAGGGTTCTTGTGTACTTGTTGGTAGTCTATTGTGTTTGTTTTTGCAAGCATGTCTATATATACTTCATCTCCATAGGTAATTATGTTTGTGCATGTGTAAGTGTGTTTGCGTGTGTTTGAGTTCACATTTATATTTATATTTACATACGCTCTGTCTCTGATATTGAGCACTTTATCTCATAATTATAGCACAAACTATATTTCTTTATAAATACATATATATATATGTGTGTGTGTGTGTGTGTGTGTGTTTCCCCTGCTAAGCATGAGCATTTGATATGTACGCTAATTTGTTTGGATGTACTTTCTTGATTTTAATTACTTTACTTTGGTTTGAGGCAATTTTTTAATTTACGCTCAAAATCGAGCATAAAGTATTTAATATTTAGCTTTCGGCCTCCATAAGCTTTTTACAAATTTTTGTGATAGGATTTAGTTGTGACAATATGTATGCTAGAGAACCAAATATCATAAGGAAATGACGTTTATATTGAATTAAGAGGAGGCACATGATCAAATAGCTTTTCTTCGTCTTAATCTCATCTTGTAAAACGATCTGTCTTTGAAAAATTTGCATATTCACGCTTTCATCTACCGCTCTGTTATGAAATATGCAGGTAATTTTGTTTCATTTTAACCACTCAATATATACATATATGTTTACTTTCAAATCTACTAACATTTTTATTCACGATATTGCGTTATGATTCTACTGTAAATCAGTCTTATTGTCTGCACGTGAGACGTTGAATACTGCAGAAGCGGCGGTGTGAATGCATGTGTATTGAATGCAAATTTAGTAATATAAGAGAAATAGAAAGAGGGCACCAAACAATACAAAAAAAAAAGACAAAATGGCTCGTATAAGTGGAAGTGAAAGGTAGACAGATCAATAACAGTGTTGGCTGAGAATCGCAATTTGTCACCTCTCAAACTCGACCTCAATGAAGCTGAACAAAAAGTGCACTACAAAAAGGAAATCCTTTCAATTTGGAGATATTTACTCCATACAAAAGCAGTAGGCAAAAATAAACACCCACATTACACTCTTGACTGGTCTGTAAACTGGCCTGTAACTGTTATAGAATATCATTTGAAAAATCATTCAATACATCAATCAATCGACCAAGCAGTCTACTTTTCTACACATTTATATGCAATTTAAATCCTAGTGCTTGTTTTAATTCTTTATGTCTAGAAGACTACAACGCATTATATGGATTTTAAAGTATAGACTAGATATAAGACTAAATTTTATAAAAAAATGTAGAGAAAAAATCCTGAAAAATTAATTTTAAAGATGTATTTAAATTAGTCACAATGCACAAAACGTTGTGATAACAATATTAAAGATGAGAACATTAATCCCAATATAAGTAGTGGAAATAATGTATTTTTTTTAGTCTGTATAACTGTCTATATATTATTTTCTTTCATCAGTTTACTGTTGATCGAATGATGTTGATTTTGTGCATGAGTGCATTTTTTTATGAATTACTATATATACTTTTACATGTATTGTTCATATATATATATATTTATTAAAGACATTTTTATGTTTAACGTTGTTTTTTATAGATACAAGTATTTAAGTAAATGCTCTGTTTATGATAAACAGTATTAAATAACATTTACCGGCCTGAATGTCTGAGAAATTTTCATAGAAAATATTCCTCCTTTGACATATATATATATATATATATATATATACACGTTTCATTAAATAATATAGACAAGTGTTATCTATTTATTTTATGTAAATTCTTTTCATAACGTCTGACAAATTTCATTAAACGAAGAAAGAAATTCACAATATGATGATAGTCTGTGATTGTTTACATAGGTGATTTTAAAAGCAACGATATAAGACGCTAGAAGCGAAAATCGCACCGCATCTCATGATGTCAGACATGACCACGCGAGAGTGAATTGAAGAGTATGAAGTATGGGAAGCCGTTGTTATAAACCACTTACTTCTGTTACCAATTATAGATATTTAAGGATATTTGTAGAGATTCCATAGTTGATTCTGTTTAGGTTCGGTTTTATGTAGAATGCTTCAAGAATTTTTAGTTTTTGTCTATTCTTTTCATGTTGAAGTATAATTGTGTTTTCGACAAGTATTTTACGGAATTGTGTGTGCGAGCAGGTATGTTGTTTTAAACTTTTAGGCATTTAGGCATCGAATTTACTGTATTTAAATGTATTAGAAATGTCTTGAAATAATTGTCGGACTTTGTCCATTTTATTTTTTTATATATATATATATATATATATATATAAAAAGTAAAATGTCTAAAAGTATAGATATTAATTCATACATAAGTATATGCTATGGAATGAATCTAACGAAGTATATACAGTATATTTTAAATAGCGAGCCTTTATAATACACACACA